GACCTCGGAGGGTGGGCAGGAGACCCTATCCTTTGGAAAGCATAGTAAAAGTACATGCAATCTGTTGTCCAAGCAAGAAGAGAGAGCAGAAGGAGGGCTGAGGATGCTTTGTCCCAATCCGGAGAGGAGAAAGGACAGGAAAGCAGCTGCTTTAGTTCTTTTCATTTTGTAAAGAAAGCATGGTGGTTCACACCTGTAATTCCAGCACTTAAGAGGCTGGGACAGGAGGATTGCTGTAAGTTTGAGGCCAGTCTGGACTACAAGAGAGTAATACCCAGCCAAGAGGAAAAGGAAGAGGAAGAAGAGGAGAAAGGGGAGGAGGAAGAAGAGGAGGAAGAAGAGGAGGAGGAGGAAGAGGAGAAAGAGGAGGAGAAGGAGGAGGAGAAGGAGGAGGAGAAGGAGGAGGAGAAGGAGGAGGAGAAGGAGGAGGAGGAGGAGGAGGAGGAGGAGGAAAATAGAGGAGAAGAAGGAGAACTGGAGGATTGGCCTGGGACAGGGCATTGCCTAATAACTTAGCAGCTGGGTCGAGACAGGGACCTTCCATCCCCATCTAGTCAGGGGATGTTAGATTTGATAGGCTCTATGTGACTTCATGTGACTATGTCAGCTCCAGGCCCTGGAGAACAAGAATGAAGGCTCAGAGATGGGTTTGTGGCATAGGGATGGGCTGGAGGGAGGAGCTTTTCTCAGGGAAGGTTTGAGTTTCTGTCCTCAATCCCCAAGACTTGTCTCTTCTAGAGTAGACACCAGGTGGCGCTCCCACCACAACCCAGTGTCATCTAAGGATGCTGAGCTGCTGTCTTACCCAGTTATACTTGAGGTGAGCTGACTTAAGGGAAGGTGAAAGAGACTAACTCTTCTCTGCCAGTTCCCTGTCCTCACTAAATATTCCTCCGTGGGTTTTTACATTATAATCTCATTTAACGTGGCTAGCCAGACTTGGGTAAATTTAACCATTTAGGGTCAAGTAAAATGTGCCTAGGGTGACATTGGGCAGTGCAGACCAAAGGGGCTAAGTAGTGCTCGGTGATTTTGAAGTCTTTCATTCACAGCTGGCAGTGGTAGGCTCCGGTCTGGCTTAGGTAGAGGAAGCAGGAGCTTGAGAACAACTCGGTGGGGGTTTGGGGTAGAGGAAGTGAGATACGGCCCTGGAATCTGTAGAGCCTAAAGAGGGATTCTCTGCACCTCTTTTCAGGCACACCTAGGCTCTCAGTCTCCTAGGCATGTGGACAATGATAATCAAAGCTATTGTGCCATGCTTGTGAGACAGACAGACATGGTGTGCTGGAGGTCAGATGTGGCCTAAACCTGTTTTTTTTCCTTCAAACTTTACATTTCATTTATTTATTTATTTATTTATTTATTTATTTATTTATTATTTTGCATCTATGGATGGTTTGCCTGTTTACATGTCTGTTCAGCACATGTATGCAGTGCCATCAGATCCCCGGGAACTGGAGTTACACCCAGTTGTGGATACTGAGAATACCATGTGGGTCCTTTGGAAGAGCAGCCAGTGCTCTTAACCGTTGAGCCATCTCTTTCGCTCCTAAAACCTGTTTTTATTTGGCCTTATGCATCCTTGTTAACTTTTTTTGAATTATTTGGTGGTACTTTGATTTGATGATACCTTTAAACCAGAGAGTTTGAGCAAAGGCTTCAGTTTCATCTCCACATGACAAACCAGCCCACCACCGCCTATGTGCTGACTTTTCTGTGGCCCCATGGTTTGCAGCTGAGTAGTAGCAGCCCTGTAAACATCACTCCACAGGCCCAGCCCACTCAGTTCATGAGTGACCTGCCTGGTCTATTTACCTCTGACAATAAGGGGACATGAAGCTGAGTAAATAGTTCCTGTGTTAATAGCAGGCTTGGGTGGATTCCTAATAGCAGGGATGGGTTCCTGTATAAGGAGGCTACACAGAAGACTGGAGTTCCTAATACTCTCAAGAATTTAGATTCTTAGATTATTGTATCCGTGAAAACGAGCAGTTGATGATGGTCAATGTATGTGCCTGTCACAGCTCCTCACCGAACCCTTACACTTCCCGTAGGCCTCTTGCTGGGGTCGGTCATTCCTGCAAGGCTGTGTCTAGCTGTGGGATCGGGGTTGATGAAAGCCTGGGAATAGAGAAGCAGACTGAGTTTGGCCCTGAAAGGTGAGAGTCTCTGTTGGAATATTACGATCTCCCAGGATCTCTGCTGTTTCTGGGTCACTAAGTTCCAGTCTGCATGTGTCCTGATCCTTTAATTCCCCGAGGGCCCTTCTTGGATTTCCTGCACCTCCTCTGCCCACAGGGTGCAGCCCTGTATCATCTCTTCTATCAGCCTTGTCTCCCACTCCTCCAATTCTGGAGTCAGGGAAGGGGAAGCACAGGGATGTCATCCCTTCAGACTTGTCATTTTCCATCACTGGTCATGAGTAGGGTTATGCCTTGGTCCAGGCGCAGGGGTCAGCGCTGGACTCTGACCAGGCAGGCAGGCAGGCCCATCACTATATCACTACTCTACTGTTCTGATTTCATTTCCCACTGCTGCTTGACTCTGGAACCCCGGAACTGTTGCTGGTACCTGTTCTCTCCAGTTGCTTTTCCCTCCATAAAACTTGTTTCTGATTACGGGCCCACAAGTGGGCTGCCACCTGGCATGGCCCTTTGTCCCCAGGGCCTGTCTTGGAGAGGTGGTCTTTAGTACCGCTACATCTCACTACAGCATGCAGCCTGGGAAAAAAATTCTTTGGCTTATACCCCTGCTTTCCATCTGTTGTCTATTGCTCAGGAGGCTGAGTCTGGCCCCTGTCCTGCCCTTCTGCACAGCATGTGGTAACCTAGCCTTGTCTGCAGCCTTCTGAGGTTGTTTGGACCCAGACGGCAGCCACATACCACAGGTAGCCGTGCAAGGGCACATTATACTGATGGAAGCTAAGGCATTGGCCCTAGAGAGACCACCTGAGTTAAAGTCGCAGCTCTGTCTCTATCCACCTGAGAAAGCTTAGGTATGCTGCATCTCCTTTCTATGCCTTAATTTTCTTTCTTGGAGAGAGAGAGAGAGAGAGAGAGGACTAGCGCCTGGGATCATGAAGACTGAGTTAGAACGAGACAGTGAAATGTGCGTAGCATGTAATAGTAACCACACTATCAGCAATTGTTACTACAGTCAGAAAACTTGACTTCCTGTCTCCACTCACTCATTCCCAGTTGACCTCAGACAGATCCCTGCTGTCCTGTATGCCTCGGTTTCCTCCCTAAGTTGGAGTTATGCTTTCTTACTCAGAGGGAGATAAATGTAGGTCTGACAGGAATGATCTAGGTGGAAGCGGTGGTTTTTTTTTTTTTTTTTGCATTTTATGAGTTACTGTGCACATGGGTACTGTTTTCATTTTAGATGTGCTCGAGTTCTTGGTTCTTAAAGGCAGGGATAGGTGATTTCTTAACTTACCTCAATCGTTTACAGAAATGACACTGGAGACCATACTTGTCCAGCAAGTGAGTACTTGGGCTAGAAAGCAAGCGGCATTCTTAGAAGCTGCCTCAGGCTGGTCAGGTTCAGTTAGGTTCCCAGCTTTAGGACCACAAGATTCAGTGCAGGCCTGGGAAGGAGTTCAAGGGCTGTCTACAGCTGTCTTCGGTCTGGTTGTACGATCCTGGGTATCATGGAGCTAGTGGCTCCAGGTATAGTGTAAGGAACTTACACTTCACCTTCAGTGTCTCTAGACCGCTCCATACACACCAATGCTGGAGATCACCTTATTGGCTTGGGTACTTTGGGACTTTTAGGAACGGAGAGAACGGCTAGAAGCAGAATGTGCAGCTGGCAGGGCTAAGATTCATGTTATCAAAACCTTCCTGGCTGACTCTGAGGTCAGGGTATCCTGCCCAGTGTCTTTGCCTGTGTCTGCAGGTTGCTCAGTATGTCTAGGTCTGTGGGTTCTGAAGGTCAAGCCTTTGTTTACTTCTGTTCCCTCTCCCTCACTCTGTCCACCTTAGACACTAAGCACTAGGTAAGAACCTGCTGGGCTGCATGGATTTCACTCATGGCTCCCTGGGGTACAAGCAGAGGTGAGCCATCTCTGGCCCAAGGCAGACAGCAGACCCTTTTACAAAGGGCAAATGGTTCCAAGTCCATAAGCTAACGACAGAGTTCCCTGGGCTGTTCAAGTGACTGCAGAGGGACTGTGGCCTGGACCCTCTGAGGGAGCCACCACCACCACCACCACCGAGTCATCAGGTTGCCCTTGGTAGGTAGCTGAGCCTTAGGCAGAGAAAGCGATGCCTTCAAATGGTCTGACCTTGCCTCCCTGACTGAGTCTTGGGCATGCAGGATGTGCCCCTTGCGCTCTTCTTGGGGAAGGGGCCTTCCTAATTATATCCCCCTCAGCTCACATGGAAATGAGTTTGGATTTTCTGAGCATACACCAGCTGGCTGGGGGGAGGCAGCCCAGAAGGCTGCTGGCTGGGGAAGGGAGGAGAAAGGAGAGGGAGAGGAGGGAGCCAGGCCAAGATGAAAAATTCCCAGTGTTCTTTCAGGCAGAGCAATAGTGGGGCGTTGTGGGCACCCCACACATCATCCACCTCCTCTGTCTCCTCCACAGAGGAAAACCTCCTTCTCCGGGCTGACAGGATCTGCAGAGAGCTGGGTTCCACTCCAGCAAGCCCATTCTCTGAGAATGGCTTTCTGACTACAGACCAGTTAGCTGGCAGCAGTCGGGTTGTCCGGTGTTAGACTCATCCATGCGCTGAGAGGTCCTTATAGATTTCCAAGGCCTCTCCTTCCACTGGGGCGAGGGAAGTGGAACTGAAGCCCAGAGGAGGGATGGGGCCTACTCCTCATGACAGATCACAAGTCTGTCTTCTTCGCAGCTGGGTTCTCCCAGTGGAGTTGCTTGAGAGCGGGTGGCGAAGAAAAGATTCTCGTATAGCAGCGAGCACCTCACAAGCTAGGGGCCACAGGCAAAGCTAGAAAAGGCTGCGAGGGGCGGGGGGGAGGGGTGGGGTGGGGTCAGGCGCTTGACTCCGCCTCCTGGCGCTAGGTTCTGCCTGCGGCCGGGCGCTGGCTCAGTCTCGGCTGCTTGCCGCTGTCGCTCCGGGGCTGCGGGATGACGCCTCCTCCTCCCGGACGTGCCGCCCCCAGCGCACCGCGCGCCCGCGTCCTCAGCCCGCCGACTCGGTTCGGGCTCCCGCTGCGGCAGCGACTGCTGCTGCTGTTCTGGGTGGCCGCCGCCTCCGCCCAAGGCCACTCGAGGAGTGGACCCCGCATCTCTGCCGTCTGGAAAGGTAGGCGGCGCCGCGCGGCCGGCGGGGCGCGGGATCGGACGCTGTGCAGGGAGGTTGCGGAGTGTGCGGCACCCAGAGAGAGTGCGTGTGCGCAGCTCTGCAGGTCTTGAGCTGGCCCCGGAGGGAGCGTGTGGGTCCGGGTGAGTGTATGTGAGTGTGCGTCCTGTCACGCCGGAGCGGGCTGGAGCGCTGCAGCGTGCGGGCGAGCGTCTGGGGCCCGGGCCCGGCTAAGTGGCGCTCCAAGTCCAACGGCAGCTCCGAGCCCGAGCCGCAGCGCCTGAGCGCGGGGGGAGGTTGCGGGCCCCTTTCTCGCCAAGGTTCGCTTTGGCTCTCCGCCGCGGGGTCCACTATGCGGGACCCTTCCTTCCCCGGGCCAGCTTCCTCACCCCAACCCCCTCCTTGCGAGCTGCGGGCTCTGCTGGCACGCGGGGCTCAGGCTGGGCTGGTGAAGGGGGCGCGGACCCATTGCCGCCGCTGCTGCGCTCGGGCTGCGGGAACAAAGACCCCGCCGCCTGCCCCCGCCCCCGCCCCGGCCCGGAGCGCGGGCCAGGCAAGGGGATGGGCACCCTGCGGCTATCCCGGACAGGGTGCAGTGCTGGGGCTCGGGGCACCTGGGCGCTGTCTCCCTAATGCTGGGACCAGCCGCTCCCCCCTTGCCCGCACGTGGCAGTTGTCACCAGAAATTGGCGCTAGCACGAGGAGGGGGATAGTGCCCATTGGGTGGGGCAAGGCCATTGGGACCCCCAAGCAGCATATATAGGGAGGGGGGTGTGCAGCCTTAGGGCTGTGGTGAATTTGAGAACCTGACAGACTGGAGTCTTCCCCTGGGGCATCTCAGTTCAGACCTCAGTACAGTGGGACAGAAAGCTGGCTAGGTTGGGTTTGGAGGCTTTCTGCCGCTAGGGACGGAGCTCCCCTCCCCTGCATTGCACACAAACGCCTCCCCGCCCCCAGGCAAACTCAGCTCTGTACCCAAATTTGGCGTCTCTGCAGCCCCTCCCCTAGTGGTGAAGGGAGACTCACATGGGGACTGGGGGGGGGGGGTACTAGTCCTGTCTGTCCCTACTGGGAACCCTTTGATGCCTTGGCAGTTTTCAGGGATTGCGGAAGTCTGAACATTATCTGGGGCAGGTATTCTTAGCAGGGTATGGGGGGAACCCACATAAAATGAGTGACCCGAACTGCTGCAGCAGCTGAGAGAGTGTGACTTGCCCAAGGTCACTGGGCAGTGTGGGCGCTCATTGTGCAGGTGGGGGCTCTGATCTGACCCTGAACCTGTCCGGGTCCAGACTTAGGGAGAAGAGAAGGATTTAGATGCTTCTCCAACCATAAATGAGGTAGTCTGGTCTCCAACTCGCCATCCAGCCAGAGATGCACTCAGTGTAAGAAGAACAGCTTAGCTGGAGCTCTGGACACCTGCACAACCTGCATTTATACCCACTTAGTCTCTTTTCCTCCATCCTGCCAGCATTTTACCTTGCCCCTGTCCCCTTGTGTCTCGGACAGCATAGTACACGAGTACTCCGGAGGAGACAAATGGCTGTGTCTGAGTGTTCTGGAATCTCCCTCTATACCAAACTCCTTTCATTTGATTGCGCTTGTCCCCCCAATTCCTTGCTTGACCTCCCCACCGCATACTTAATGCACAGCCACTTGTTAGCACTTAATGCATACCTTTCTATCCCCGGCACTTAGTCCTTACTTACCCCGGGGCTATTTAAAGCTGCTTTCAGCCCTCTTACCCGCTTCTGCCAGCCCATCCTATGCCCCGCTTCCCTTGCTTGCTCTTCACGGCTGTGACCACACTGGTAATGCACTATTGACCCCCTCTGGCTGGGATCCACCAGACTCTCACCAATCTTGTCCAAGGACAGTCTGCAATCTCCTTCACAAGTGCCAGGTGCCCCACTGGCCAGACAGGCCCTGCCATTCACCTGCCCCCCACCCCCTAGGGCCACCAGCTGGTGATAGTGTGCCCGACTGACAGCTGCCTCCTGCCTCCTATGGGGTAACACATGGCAGTCGGATAGTAGGGAGATTGGATAGGGCCAAGCCAGGCGTGGAATGAGAGGGAGACCTTCCCAAGCTCTACTGTACGCCTGGGGCTCTGTCTACCAGTGGATGGGACAGGAATCTTTAGGGATGACTAGACCTAGGGATGGTGATATAGCCCTGTAGCCATTCCTCTACAAGACATATATTTAGATTTCATGTTTGGATTAAGACAGAATAGGGACTGGATAGGTATAGAAATGTCTTTATTTTCTTTGCTTGGCCCCCCACCCTCACTCCAAGCCGTAGGGAAAGATTAAAACAGGGGATTCTGAGAGGGTCCCAGACAGACTGCAGTTGTTAAGAGAGCTGCTGCCTTTGCAACCAGATGAACTCCTGGTGCAGAAGAGCATGGACCAGGGGGAAGGATGTTCCATCGCAGGCTGCTGGGTTCCTTGGGCTCTGCACCTGTCTTTGACCCCCAAAGGTTGCCGGAGCAGGGAGAGCCCCGAGGATGGATGTCCCCATAGCGCATCACTAGCACATGAGTTACAGAGTTGGCCATGTAAATGTGTGACTCTGGTCTTCCTTCAGGTGGGGGTGGGAAGTATAGGGGATGAGTGAGTGGCAGGTGATGGGGGGTATGAGTGGGGGGTGGGTGACTGGGGGGGATATGAGTGAATGGTGGGTGGCAGGAGGCCTGCATTCTCGTGTATGCCAATAACTGAAGGAGAAGCCCACGGAGGTCGTGACTCCCCCGTCAGAGTGAGCAAGCGAGCCTGTCCACAGAAGGCAAACAGTCCAATCTCCAGTCTACCTGCCCAGCTGGTTCTTCCCGCTCTGGCCCAATTAAACAACAGGATGTTATTGTTGACTTGGGAGCTGTTGTGTAGCCATTAAGGGGTGGCTCCCCAGGGTCAGGGGGGTTGTTATCACCTCCTCCAGGGGATGAGGTCACAGCTGGGGCTCCCCAAGCATCAGCATTTCCAGTGGAAATCCCTGTCCTCTTGGGGACTTAGATGAATTCATCACCTTCAAGGTGAACCCCCCTTGCAGAACTGGGGGGGGCAATCCCCAAGAGGAGAGGGAGTTTCCTAAGCTGGAGGAGATGCTTGGTGGTGTCCCCAGAAGCTCCCTGCTAAGTTTTGTCTTGGGTCTGTGCTGAACACTGAAGATTCTGAGAGCAGGTGTTGGGGGTGGGGCCGCAGATAGATGATGGAACAGGTCCAAGTTGACCCTGGCACCTTGGGTAGAAATGGGTGGAAAGTCAGAAGCCTGGTTCTGGCTTAATTGTTCTGGCTTCATTTGCTCTGTGTCTTTGGGGGAGTCCTTGCCTTTTTCTGAACTTCAGTTTCCTTCCATGTCCAAAACAGTCAGGTAATGTCTGTAATGCCTCATTCACTGCTGGGCCATAATACCTCCAGATTCCTTTTGCTCTGGGACGAGGAGGGCGGAGCAGAGACCAAGGTGGCCCATTCAGATCTTAGTGTTAAGTGACTAAAACTGCCGGGTGGATAATCAGGGGGAAATCCTGGAGTCTTGGATCCTTCTTCTCTTTGCTATCATGGGCCGGAAGTCAAGGGTCAGTTCCAGGGAACGGCTTTTTGGCTTCTGGCCTCAAGGGTAGACGCACATTCAACAAGCTTTTTCTGAGTCCAGCTTTGTGCTGGTTCTGGGATTGGGCGTGAGGGTCCAGCAGAGAAATTCAGTGAGGTGGTGTCCTTGTAGATAGGGAGAGTGGGTGGATAAACCAGTACAGACACTGAAGAGGTGAGACAGGACCTAGAGCACAGGGTTGCCATGGGGGCTGAGGAAGTCTGCTAGTCAGCCGGCTTTCTAGATGAAGTGGCAAAGCTGAGATGGCAGAGACAGGAGTTGGCTGGATGAGGAAGGGCAAAAGAAGTACTTGTTTGACAGTGTTGAGTCAGCTTTGGCCAGGGGTCCAGCAAGCTCTCTCTCTCTCTCTCTCTCTCTCTCTCTCTTTCTCTGCAGACTCTCACAATGTAGCCCTGGATGGCGTAGAACTTCCTATGTAGTCCAGGCTGGCCTTAAACTCCCAGAAATCCACCTGTCTTCGCCTCCACTAAAGGCATGTACATCCTGTGCTGGCTTCAGCAAGGTTTCTTGAAGGGGATGATATCTGAGCTTGGCCACTTGTCCTGCTTGGGCAGTCTTCTGGAGGAAGACAGTGGCAGGGAAGTCGTGGTGGGGTCCAGGGACAGTAGGACCTTCCCCATCCACTCCTGACTATGAGGAGGGTGTTTCAGGAAGGAGGCCTGCCATGCCCTTTCTCTGCGTGTCCTCTGAGGCAGAAGAAATCCCCTTGTATCCAAGCCCTGTATTGCGGACAGAGCAGACGCGGTTCCTCTGACCAGCTTCCCTTTCCGGGGGAGCCTTTGAGAACAGATAACTTTCTAGGTTGAAGATGAGAAACAGAATAAGCTGCACACTTCTCTTTGAGGCGTACCAGACCAGGTGGCCTGAGAGGCCCATCCTGCAGGGGGCAGTCATGAGAATGGATGACCCCAGAGTTTCCTGCTGGAGTCTCATCTGACATCCTGGCCTACATCGTCATTCTACACCCCCTCATTTAGGGCAGCTGTGTCATAAGAGACTGACCATACTTCCCTTACCTCTTGCTAGTTGCTCCAAAAGGCTTCTGCTTTTCTTAGTTTCCTTTTTTGGTTATCCCAGAAGCCTGTCTACTCTTTGGGGATAGGAGACTTGACTCTTGACCTGCCCTGGCCTTGCAAGGAGGCCTGGCTGTCAAGTGTATGACCATTTGGCTCTCAGTGAACCAGGCAGATGGGGAGAAAGGAGAAAGTGGAGGGCCACAGTCCTGGCCCCATAGAGATTGGAGACTTCTACCTTCCCTAGTCAGCCAAGTTGCTGCCCTCCTACAAGGGAAGGTTCTTCAGGACCTTTCCTTCAGCAGGCCTTGGCCCCACTGTCCCATGTGTAGATTGTACTCTGCCCTCTTCAAGGTCCCCCTGCTCCTCCGTGACATT